GATGAATTGGGCCACCCCTGTGAAAGGGTCGTTCGATCACCAAAGGGGTCGCGATCCCCAGGTTGGGAACCACTGCTCTAGAGGGAAAGAGATGCCCAGGGCAGGGCCTCGCACTGGGGGCATGGGAGCTGTGAGGTAGTGACCACCTACTTGGGGAAAGGACTTGGTGGGGGGCGTCAAGAGCCCCCATGAGGGCTCTTAAGGATGAAACTGCCATCTCTGGGTTACCATGGCTACTAAGGCCCCTTCCATCTCTCCTAGACTGGGGTCAGGAGAGTCAGGGATAGAAGGCTCAGAGAGTCTCTAGCCGTTCTGGCCACCCCGGCCTCCTCTCCCCCAAGCATCTCCTGTGCTTTGGGCAGCTGTTCTCTTACCCCATAAGGCTAGTGTCCATTGGCTACTCCAGACCAATCACGAACAGGCTGTGATGGAATTGGCCTCCTGGCTCGAGCTCTTCTTGCCCAGGCTGCGTCCCGGTTCACAGAGAGAGGTGCGCCCATCCCTCTTCCCTGGCAGGAAGCACTCAGAGCCCGGCCAAGGAGACCATGCTCCTTCTCCATTCCCGGCTAGTCCTGTCCTCTCATTCCAAAAAGTGTTATTCCGAAGACGAGGCTCTGGAGCTAGCCACTTTTCTAAGACTCCTTGCTTTGGTGCTGGTTCTACTAAGGAGGCTCCTTCTTGCCTTAGCGAATGGTGTTGACGCCTTCCGGGGAGCCAGCCTGGGTGCTGGAAACTGAGTTTAGAACTGGATCTGAACCAGAGCTGCACTGGTGGTGCTCCAAGTCAAGTTGGGGCGTGGGGTGGGGTGGGTGACAAGTTCAAGCAACTGGGTCAGTCTGTGAAGGGAAGGGGGTGGGAGAGGGTGCTCAGTGGGGGGTGGCGGGGACATGCAGAGAAATCTGGAAGAAACAGTAGGCAGCACAGCACAGCCTTTTCATTTTGTGGATGGGGAAACTGAGCCCCTGAAGGAAGATGTGACTTGGCTCGGTCGCACAGTGAGGTCCTAGTGGCAGCCTCAACCCCCTCTCCTGGTTTCAGCCAGGGCCTTTTGGAAGGGACCCAGTGCCCTTTCTGGTTTTCTGGAGCTCATTCCTTGTATCCTAACACCACTTTGGGGAAACAAACAAACAAGAAGGAAAGAAACAGTTGCTATCTCTAGACAGCGGTCACCCGAGAGGCGCCCGTCTCAGGCCTGCGGAGCCAGGCGGCCAGTCCTTCGTGCAGAGGGGCGTGGCCTCCTCTCAGGCCTAGAATGGGGTGGTCGCGTTTTTCTCTCTCTCTCTCTATCTCTCTTGCATTTTTGTGAATCTAATGATGAACTTATGCTACCACACTTTTCCCTTCTCTTACACACCTTACCTACTAAAGGAGGAAGTGCCACTTTATTGGTAAGTGGACATTAACCAAGAGGGACTTAAAAAAAAATCAGAACTTTGAAAAGAAAAAAAAAGAGAAAAGAAAAGAGAGACACAGAAAGACAGTGTGCTACTGACAGCCCCACAGCTCTCTGCAGGGCCGGCAAAGAAAGAGAAAAACGTTAACGGAGGGGAAAAAAAATTGTCAGCTCCCCCCTGGAGATCAGACTTTGTTTTTGATTGCGGTATCTACTGACATTTGTGGATTTTGTTTTCGATTTCTGTTTTTCCTCCCTTTCTTCGGTTCAGTTTTGAGTTCAGTTGTCCCACCCTGCCCCACCCCATCTGTGTGCCGTGTGCCCTTCACCCCAACACCCCACCACCACCACCACCACCACCCCCAGCGCTGGGGGGCTAGGCCTGGGGGGCTGGCCCTGGCCCGACCTCCCGGCGCTCCTGTGGGCCGGCCTGGAGTCACCTGCCCCCTCCTGGGGTGATGGCAGCCAGGGTGCCCATCCTGGTCCCCCCCCTCCCTTCCAGACCCATCCCTCTTCCTCCCACCGCTCCCTCCCTCTTGTGTTTTGCATGCCGAGAGCCTTGCATGAGCTGCACTGTTGAGGCCAGAAGGTGGACATTCAGGAGAGGCAGAGGCAGGGCAGGCGGGAACGTGTGTGCGATGCTCCGGGACCGGCAGCCCCCGCCCGGGCCCGGTGACAGCCCCCTCTCCTTCTCTCCCCCCTCCCCCCTCCCGCCCTCCGCTCTCTCCCTGCTCTTTGCTTCCTCTGTCCGGCCCCGCCCCCTCCTCTCTTCTCTCGGCCCGGCCCCCTCTCCGGGCCCTGCTCTCCTGACCTTTCGGGGCTCGGCCCCTCCACTGCCTCCTCTGTCCCCCTCTCCGGCCTCCCCACCCCCTCCGTGCCCTCTCTGCCTCTCTCCCCGTCAGAAGCCCGGCTCGCCCTCGCTCAGGGCCCTCGACGCGGCGG